CTGGAAGACTGGAGAAGAGCAAACCCATTTCCAATACAGTATTCAAAATGGGAACAGGCAGAGCTAGGAAGCTGTACACCTATTGGTATCTGTACTTGAGTTTATTTCCTTATGTATATTTACATTTATACTTTATTGTATGCAATATTTATTGCATATTATATCTGTGAGCAATAATAAAAAAAATGCTATTGTTACCAAGAACCACCCTGTGTTTGTCAGGAACAAGTCATTTCAATTTAATTCATATATTTTTATGGCAGTTTAATAGAATAAGAAAATGTTGTGTAGTGTCCCTTACTTCAATAAAGTACTGGATATAACAAAATATTTCATGATACTTTGTAAACAAGTTGGATAAATATGGGCTAGAGAGCTAGTGAGCTAGTACTGTGTTGTGACCATACTAGTTAAACAAATGCATCTAAAAGGTGATTTTTAATGGTTTTGTATGTAATCCTTTCAACCCAGAAGTGCCTTAAAAGGGTGCCTCTGAATTGAACGGGAACCTGGGAGAAATTAATAAGTGGAATCACCAGTTCTCTCTGTCTCATTTCTCTTTTTCCTCTCTTTCTCTCCCTCCATTTTCCCCTTTTCTCTCTCTCATCTCTCTATCTCTCTTCCCACCATCTCTTCCCCCCCCTCATGTGTGTGTGTGTGTGTGTTCCTCTTGAACTATTTCCAAAAACAGGCAAGAGTTGGGTTTTGTTTTGCTTTTTTGCTGATGTTCTTTCTTCTTCTTTGGGTGCTTTTTACCATATTATTTAAATCAGTCATTTCATGTTCCCAGATAAATGAAGCTCTGTCGCCCCCCTGCTGTGGCTCTTTGCCGGCTGGCTGGCCCTGCCCCTTGCCCTCCCCTCCCAGTCACTCCTTGCGTGGCCTGAGAAGGTAAGGGTGACGGCGGGCATGGAGACTTGCTCCATATTCCAGAGTGGAAAGGCCCCTGTACTTGCCTCTCATCTCGTGGACACTTCTTCCAGTGCTTCTTGGTGCTGCACACACCTTGGTCACTCAGGGAGCTGTGTGACTTTCTCTCCACCCCGGGACACTGGCCCAGCCGATGCTTTGCATCGTAATGGGCTCCAGGAGGAGGAGGGAACGCCGTCTCCCCCATTGTGAAGCACGCTAAATTTAACTGTGCTGCACAAGGTGCTGCAAGAGCAGCGAGCAGGCCATGGAGGCGGTGAGAGCAGCGGCGTCAGCCGCAGCCTGGCTGGGCCAGTGCTCTCAACTTGCAACTTGCTCTTGCTGTCTCCATGGCCAGTGAAAATGGAGCTCCATTTTCAGTGGCAGAGGGCTGCAGGAAGCCGTCATGGCTGAAAACAGCCTGGGACAGCCGCACACAACCCTCCCAAGCTCCATTTTAACTGGCACAGCCACCGTGGACCAGTCATTTGCTTCACTGTTTTGACAAGAATTCCTAAAACTTTTGGGGACTACCCAGAGGCTTAGCTCCTTGCATCACCCATAAATGAATGCGGTGTGCAAATGTGCAAGTTGGATCCTGGAACAGGTGCTACATAAATGATTAATGAGATAATTGAGCAGACCTCCTTTTGCGGAAGTTGCATACAACAATTCAGTGCACAGTGCAAAGCCTCTTCTTTTAAAGTGGCCATATGGCAGGCCTTTGTATCTATTCCTGAATTGCCTCAGGCCATCCCGTTGACCACCTTTCTAAAGGAGTTCCAACCACAAAATACTGTCCGGTAGTAAGAAAAACTTTGGAGGAGGCAAGAGAAGCATACAAGAAACAAGCTGACAAAAAGCGCACAAAGCCAAAATACTTCAAAGTTGAGGACAAGGTCTATTTGTCTACCACATACTTGCAGTCCAGATAACCCTCTCAAGAAATTGGGGCTGAAATACTTTGGCTTTTTCTCATAAAAAGAATTATTACCCAGTTGACTGTCGAACTCTAACTTCTAAAGACACTTAGATCAGAGGTGGGATTCAACTGGTTCTGTCCGGTTCAGGTGAACCGGTAGTGGCGACTGTGGGAGGTTCCGCCCACCTGCCAGGACGTAATGCGTGAGACTTTTATAAGATACCCTACTGTTGACTATATCCCCCTGGTTTATGAGATATGTACAGCATATTAGTAGAGATAGGAAACTTACAAATAATTTTTAGTTTGTTTTGTTTTATGAAATTTAGAGGCTGCCCAATTGCAGAATACTAAAATTAGAAAATAAACCACTTATACCATTTATTCCAGATTATATAATATTCCGTATCTTCCTTTTCTTTGAGCTCTTTTGTTAATTTGTCCATCTCAGCACATTCTAGGATTTTTTTTATCAATTTTTCTTCTGTTGGTATGTTTTCCCTTTTCCAATTTTGTGCGTATGATATGCGTGCAGCTGTTATAATATGTAAAATCAAATATTTTATTTCTTTGGTGTATTTTTCAGTAAATATTCCTAATAAGAATGTCTCTGGTTTTCCATCCATAGGTTGCTTTATTATTTTTTCTAACCATTTCTTAATCTTAGCCCAGAATTTTTTTGCAGCCGGACATGTCCACCAAAGATGGTAATATGTTCCGTAGCTCTTATTATATTTCCAACATACTGGAAATTTATTCAGAAACATCTTCGCAAGTCTAGCTGGAGTCTATGCCATCTATAAAACATCTTCAACTGGTTTTCCTTGTTTGCCACGGATATGATGAATTTATTTGCCACATTGTTTCCCATCTCTCCAAACCTATTGTATGATTAAAATTTTTTGCCCATTTGATCATTGTATTTTTAACTATTTCCTCTTCCATCTTAGTATCGCAGTAAAAATTTGTATATCCTACTAATTAATTTCTCCTCTGTCTCTTGTATAATTTTATCCAATTCATGTTGTTCGTTCTGTACTTCATATAATTTTGTATCTTCTTTATATTTCGACTGAATTTGCATGTATGTCCACCAATCAATTGCTTTATTTAGATCATGTTCCAATTCCTGTTTTGTTTTCAAATTTCCTTGTTCTTTTAGTATATCTCTATATCTTATTATCTTATCCCATTCAGTTAAATTTGGATGTTTTAATGCTTCTATAGGTGAGATCTAAATTGGTATTTTTGTGTAGTGCTGTTTTTTTATTTTTAACCAAATTAGTAGTAATGCATTCCTTAGTATATGTCTTCTAATATAGTTGTGTGTTTTATATTTTTCATCCCAAAGGAATGCATGCCATCCCGCTTGTAAATCATGTCCTTCAATTGCTAATGTTCTTTTATCCTTAACTCAATCCACTCTTTTAGCTAAATCACACAAGAGGCTTGATAATATATTTCCCATTCTGGGAGTGCTACTCCTCCTTTATCTTTTGTATCTTGTAGAAATTTAAGTCTAATTCTCGGTCTTTTTCCCTGCCATATAAATTTGGTAATTATTTTATTTAAGGCTTCAAAATAAATTTCTCTAATTTTACTGGTATAACTTGGAATAGAAATAGCATTTTGGGCTAAATATTCATTTTAATCATGGCGATCCTCCCCATTAGTGAGATCTGTAAGTTTTTCCAATTTTCTAAATCTTTTTTGATTTGCTGTAGCAATTTATCATATTTATCGTAGAAATAATGGATAATAAAAATAGGGGTGAATTTGAAAATGGAAAGAACGAATATGATAATGTATAGAATGCATAAAATCAATATGATTGTTAAGAAGTATAATGTAATTAAAAGAGAAAGGGACAAAAAGAAAATGAAATAGTATAAAGGGAATCAGGGGAGAATGTAAATATTAGAAGATGACCATCACAAAATAACTGTAAAAAGAGAGAGTATATATATATATATATATTGTGTTTGGTGTTTGTCATATTGTGTTATAATAAAAATTAAGAAAAATTAAATAAAATAATATAATTAGAAAATAAGAATAAAGAAAAATCTATGCATCGAGACCAATTTACACTCTATAAAAGAAAATTCTACCCCAAGGCCTGAGAAAACAGCCTGGTTTTTAAAGATTTCCAGAAAATCAATGGGGTGGGAAAGAAACATATCTCTAGTACTAAAACTCAATAGCTACAAATCAGCATTTATTTCAATATAAACCAAAAGTTATCTAGATTTTAATCATGTGCATTACATGCAATCCTAACATTCTTTAGGAAGAAATCTCTGAAGTTGTTAATACTGATAAGGCATTATTGTTCTGTAGGGAGACACAAAACTTCTAAGGAATTAACGTACACGTCTGTAATTAACTATGTCAGATTGGGTATGTGTCAAGAGTGATTTGGTCTTTCACTTAGTTACTTCTTCACTCTCAGCTTGACAACAATCGGGAGGGGGGTGGTTGGAATGTCTGGGATGCGAATTAAATGCCAAGACTCCATGTGCAGTGAGACCCTGCTGCCACCCCCAAGGTCATGCTGCACACGTGTTTGAACGATCCGGGCCGTTCTCATAACAAAAGAAGCAGATGTAATTGAACAATGCAGTGAACTGAGGGGGATGGCCAAAGGGAAAACAAGTTTAACTATATGGGCATTTGCACAGGAAACCCAGAGCTGGTTTCCCTTCTTCTGTGCCAATGTAGTGTATTCAATAAAGCTTTACTTTTGGGAAGCACAATGTCCCCTGAGTTCTCTTTTTGGATTTGCTAACTGGACAGCTGACAGCTGTTTCTAGCCTTTCCAAAAATGCCCTTTATAGGAATGTTCCTTGTACTAGATTTTTGAACAATTCTAAGATTTGTTTACTGATTTATTACATTCTTCAGCCTCAGACTAACTACTATATTTCCATACAGTGGAAAAATTGTGATGATGTTTTCAGCTGCCACGTTATAACTTATATTTATTAAAACTGTTTGATGGCTGAAGAGGTCTACCTGTAATGTTTCATTTCTCTGAAATGATTATTTACTCAAGAATAAACAACAATGTTTAGATGACAGAAAGAGATTTATTTGGGATTATTCTTCCACTGGTAATTTCTATACTGACATGAATCAAGCAATTTCATTCTAACTCTTTCTATTTTAGCCCATCATTTTATTATGGTCTCTGCATGCCATGAATCTTATGGAGAATTAATTGAGGATTTTTGTCTCAGCAAATTTAAATCTGACATGGAAACTCTCAGGAAGACGCTATGGTGTGATTGGGATAAGACTTTGGAGTAAGTATCAAATAATCAAAAGTATTTTTTTACTTATTTCTTCAAGGGAGGCCAGATGTAGTCAAGATAAGTAACTGGGGCCAGACAGGGCATAGAAGGATCTTCTTCACCTCACTGTGAAGAAACATTGCCAGCTGCTGACCTACTATTTTTTCCCCTGTCTACAACTCCACCTCGTTTTCCACCAATTTGCTCCATTGAGAAAGTGATCCTTCCCCAGATACCAGAATCCCAGGAAAGAATTATCGCAAAGGGGGGGGGGTGACTGGATGGGTGGGAGGGAAGGGAGAGGAGAAAAATGACCTAAGTCTTAAGGGGTACAAAATGGAAAATGAAAGAGAGTGGTATGAGAGTGTTGTGGGGGGGGGGGGACGACTTATAGTGTTCTGCCCCAGCTATAGACCTCAAAGAACGCAGCACACCCAAAGTCTGTACAAAGCTTAGTTTACTAAAATAAAATCAGTTTTTTCTTCAAACAAAGGCTGTTAATTAACTTTCTTAAGAGCCTGCAAGAATCCAAAGAATAAATAATCTTACTCTTACTATGGTTGGCAGAAAGCCCAGAAGCAATTTGCAAAGAACTAAGATCAAGGCACGAAGGGATGTGAACTAAATTATTCTGCAAATTGCTTCAGTTAGCTTTCTTCCTTAAATAGGCTAAGGGAGTGGCCAATTAGCCCCAAGCCTTACTCTCGAGGAGACCTCCTCCTGAGGAGCCACTCCTGCCTTTTGGCAGCTCTGCATGCCCGTGCATCGAGAAGAGGCTCCTCCTCTTTTTCCTCTTCACTTAAGAGAGCTTCTGGAGGTTCTGAAGACCCTGGCTGAATCCCCGCCTCTGGCACCACATCTTCTCCAGTCTCCTCATTGTCCGACTCGAGTGCCAGCTGCACAGGCTGCTGGCACAGCACCACACCAGCCTCCTCGCTGTCTGAATCAGCTACTAGCTGCACAGGCCGCGTATGGGCCACAACATATAGGAAGACTTTTGGCCAGGAAGAGAAGTAGCTACAACCTGAACTCGGATCCCTCGCTCCCTCCGCTGAAGTGTCAAGAAATGGGAATGTAAGGCATAATTTCAAAGGTGCGAAGAAATGGGAGAAACAGGAAATCTGTGGAATCATTCCCTCCAAAAGCCCTTCCAGGACTTTAAGGCACACCGGAGGAATGCAGGCAGACCATTGACCTGCCTGTCTACTATTGGTTGGAGCCACTGATTGGCAGTGGACTTTTGGGCAGGAATTTTCTTCTCCTCTTTCCCTCGTGCCGGCAGCTCCATTTCCCATTTTTCCATTGCAGCACAGCACCATGCTGTGGAGCTTGCCCCACCCACCATTGCCCAGATGCCCTCACTTCCGCCAAGCATTTCTTTACTAACCTAATTTCCAGCTCTGTCATGTTACTTCATTGCATTTCTTGCCGTCATGTGCAGGGAAAGTTTGTGGGACTAAAAAAAAAGTTCAATCAATCAATTCCAACCTTGTGACATTTTTTTATTGTGAGAAGTTGGAATTGATTGATTGAACTTTTTTTTTTAGTCCTACAAATTTTTGTTTCCCTGCACACGATGGCGAGAAACATGACAGAGAAATGTGACGGAGCTGGAAATCAGGTTAGCAAAGAAATGCTTGGCGGAAGCGAGGGCATCTGGCACCAGGCACTGAAATGGGCCCATCTCTCTCCAGCAGCTGCCCAGGCCCACTGGAGGGAAGGCCAGCATCTACCGGCACTTAAACATATCAGCATTCCAGCTCTGGCCGGGAAGGGGCAGCCGGCATAGGCACTTCAGGCAGGATGTTTATTTCAGCACCCTCCCCAACCAAAAGGTGCTCCTCCGGCACTTATGCACAGGCTTCCTGCCCCCGCTGCCTCCTGTAAAGTAAGACAGTTTTCGCCTGGGTGACATAATCAAATGTGCCGCATCTCCATTTGGTTTCCGTCGCTCGTCTCTTGGACTTTTGGGGAGGGTTGTTTTCTCCCTGCCTGGAAGTTGAACGAAAACCAGACATTTTCCAGAAAACATATTTATCATAACCGGTTCACCAAACTCAACAAAAAATTAGGTATTGGTTCTGCCGAACAGGTGCGAACCAGCTGAATCCCACCACTGCTTATGCCTAATTTCAAGAACTTTCTCCAGTAGATATTCTTTGAGCTCACTCGAAATTATTACTTTTCTTTTTGAGTTGTGGTCCTTGGAATGGGACATAGTATCTTAAGTAGGATTTGACCAAGACAAAATAAAGTAGAATAATTACTTCTCATGATCTAGACTCTATATTCTGGTTAATGTGAGCCAAGAGAGTGTTTTTCTTTTTAGCATTTGCCTCTTTAAGTTGTATTCAAAAAGACTATTCAAATCCTTTTCACAAAGGAAGATCTCTAATATCTTACAGTTGTGTTCTTCATTTTACTACCCTGATGGAAAATTTTACACTTCTTCCTGTCAAATTCCAATTTGCTCAATATGTAGGCATTTTATTGAATCCTGCCTATATCTTTTTGCATCTTCTCTTTCATTTATAGTATAAATCACTCCTCCCAGTTCTGTTTTCTGTAGATGCGCTTGGTAGCATAAGGCCTACAATACAGCCTATGGCACTTCACATGATCTTTTTTTCATTTGTTGTTCTATGTTTAATGAGTCAGTGATAAATCATATAATGCTTAAGATTAAGTTTCAATTTTTATTTTTTTACATTTTAAAAATTAAATCAAATTAAATTTAAATGATATTACTTCAGCTACATATATTGAATATGGAATGTTCTCTAAAACATATGAAACATATACAGTGCTGAGAGCAGGATAGAGAAAATCTGGAAATTATCAGTCTCTCAAACGAAACACTGAAAATAAAGTACAGTAATACCATACCCATAATAAGAGGTTCTATGTAGATAATTTATGATGATTCCAATTAAATTAATTTTCAGGTTTTGAATTTTACCAAGATTTACACTCTGGAAATACTGATAGTGAGTAATGACCAAATGATTATTGTTTTTAAGTGAAATAAATCTAAAAATCTTGGTTGCATAGTTGAGAGGTTAAGCTGTATCCCTAACATAACAGCAAATTTATCATACTGTTAACATAATGAAATCTGGAAAGCCTTCAGGGCCAGATGAAGTAACTGTACATGATAAAAAAAAAAATTGAGATAGCAGCTTTATATTGTTGGAAATATATTAGGAGTCACATGACAAAAAGGCCCTTTCAGCCTCCCACAGGTAGTCCTCGACTTGCAAAAGTTCACTAAGTGCAGGTGTATCAAACTTGATTTCATTGAGGGCTTCATCAGGCTTATGGTTGACCTTGGGGTGGGGGGGCGTGGCCGTGTGTGTGTGTGTGGGCATGACCAGCTCGACATTGCTCATGGCCAGGGGCACCTGTGATGGCCCTGGGGGGGGGGGGCTGTTGGGATCCATTGTCTACAGCAGAGGAAGATGAGACCAGGGTGAACGCCAAACCCTTGTCCACCAGAGGAGCCTTGCCATCCCACTCAGGCCAAGCGCAGGACGCCCAGACAGCAGCACAGGCTACCTGGAGCCCTGGCCAGTGGAGGGCAAGTGCCCAGCCCTCTCCAGTCGCCTGGCTGAGCTTAACTCCTCCTCGAGGCTGCTGCTGTTGTGCTCACTGTCCTTGGCCAGGTTACTCATGGTGTGCGGGGGGCAAAGTGTGTGGAGCAGAGGAATACCCATTCCCTCTCCATGCGAGGAGACCCGGCTTTGTAACCGAAGTATCCTCAACAATAGGATGGGAGACCACCAGCAGGACTGCTGATGGCCAAGTGCTAAGGAAGGACTTTCCTCAGACGCTCCCTCCCTCTCATAATTTCCTTCCCTCCTTCCTTCCTTGTTCCCTCCCTTCCTCCCTTTTCTTCTTTTTCCTTTCCTCTTCATTCTCCTTTCTTTCTTCTTCCTTTCCTCTTTCCTTCTTTTACCTTCCTTGCTTGCTTTTCCTCTTTCCTTCTTTTTTCTTTGTCTTTCCTCTTTCCCTTTCTCCTTTCCTGTCCCTTCTTGATGCTCAAATGCAAAAGGGGAAACATTTGTTGATGCCTCCTTGCTGTGATCAAATGCCACTTTTGCTAGTCATTTGTGGCCATTTAAAAGACAAAGAACAAGGTAGGGTCAATTTATCCCATGCTTGCATTTAGTGGAGGTGTCCACAGACAACAGTACAGCAAAACTGTCAAAATGGTGGCTGTGATAGTTAATCAGAGCTCTTCTGTTTTTTATGTGCAACAGCTTTAGCATTTAGGAACAGAGCTAAGTTACCTGCTTTTCTATTAATAAATAATTCTTAAAATGACTCTCCTGTAGGGACCCTGCATTATTATTATTATTATTATTATTATTCAGAGGTCAGAGAGAGAGAGAGAGAGAGAAAGAGAGAGAGAGAGAGAGAGAGCGCCTGGGAAAGAGGCACAGACAGAAGTGGTAAATTAAATAGTGGGTGAGCCATGCAAGAACTGAAATAAGTGTGGGATTCTGATTTAAGGATTGCCACCAGATGATCTTGCTCCAGAGGAAAATCAGAATAAACACACAGAGAAGACTTCACTAGAAAGGGCTTTCTTTTGCTCCAGGAAAAAATCAGAATAAAGGCATGGAAAAGCCTTCACAGGAAGAGGCTTTTTTGTTCTGCCTTGGAAGAAAATTAGAAGACACAGAGAAATCTTCACTGGAAGAGGCTCTCTGCTTTTGCTCCAGAGGAAACCCCCAATCAAAGACCAGGGGAAGCAGAAAGAGGCTGAATTATCACCACTTGCACTTTTTAATGACAGTGAATCCCTTCCAGATTAGACCTGTGACTTTCTGCTTCTAAGAAAGTGGGAAGGAAGGTGGGGGAGAAGAGATAATTCTAACTCACTCTTCCAGCAAAACAAACCAAAAATCCAGCACCTTGAGGAAGTTCAAAAGAGAGGGGGAGGGAGAGAAGGGAGAGGGAGAGACAGAGAGAAATAGAGAGACAGACTGACAGAGAAAGAGACAGACCAA